TGACTCAAGAGACAAAAACCAAGCATACCAAAATCAATGGCAAACTCCAAACTAACCAATATTTTCCTGAGCCCTTTGACAATACCACCAAGATTCTGCTTCTTCTTTAGATTGGAGTTGATACAAAGTAGTTAGAATGTTTGGCTTGAATAAAACAGTTCCAGGTGTCTGTTCTAGTTTAAGGTTGCTGTGATACAATACTCTGACAAAAAGCAACTTCTGGGTTTCTTTCAGTTGACAACTCCAGGTTATAGCCCAACATAGTAAGTAAATCAAAGAGGCAGTGGCATGAGTTCCCAAGAGCAAAGGAACTCAAATGAGCTAGTAACACCACACCTACAGTCTAGGGCAGAGACAAAGGAACATAGGCATACTCTTTATTCTTGTACAGGGCCACACCCAAACCCAGGAATGGTGTCACCCATTTTCAGTCTATGTTCTCCCACAGCAATCACCATGTTAGCTCCAGTAAGGTTGTATTACTTCTCTGTGCTTTGTATTTTCTCTGGCATAAAATGCTTAAAATCACCTTTGCTTAAAACATCTTTGCTAGTTTTAAAGGAATTCTTACCTGTCATACAATTTCTTATTAGTTCACATAATTTTGATGCTCTTTGAAAACCAATATGTTAGAATTTATTGGAGTCTTTGATAAAAACCACAGTTTTTAAGTAAATATTGTTGGATTTGTAATACCAGATATTTAAATTCTATTAGAAATAGTATAAGGAAAACTCTCCAGCAAAGACATCTAAGGCTTAAGGCTGAGGAGAGATGTTTTATATGTGACTACAATAAAGGGTTGGGTTCTTCCACATTTGGATAATAAAGGAGTAGTACCATCTTACAGTAGTCAAGACAAAACAAAATCTGTCAGGTGCATAGATATATGGCATCTTAGACAATAATGAAATGTTTGTTCAGTTAAGTGAAATGGTCCTGAATTCATTTCAGCCAGAGTAAAGAAATTATTGCAAATTATTCATCTACAAACAATATGTAGTTCCCATTTTCCATTGATAGACACTAAGTGTAAATGTCTGTAACACTACATTCAGTTTTCCTGAATCATTAGTGAACTCTATTTCTATTTTGAATTTTAAAATTGTATCATGTAGATTTGGAGAAATCGTTAAGTGGGTAAGAGTAGTTGCTAGACACACATGAGTGTCTCAAACAATGCTGCATTTAAAAAACAAAGCCTGAGTATGGTGATGTGCATTCATTTTTCTACCATTGTGGAGGTCAGAGAAATTGAAATTACTGAAGTTTGTTGGCTACCAGCTTACTAATGCTAGAGTCAATGAAAGACCATGTCTCAAAGAAGTAAAGCTGAAAAGTCCTGACCTTTTATCCCCTCACAAATGTATGCACACAGAATCAGGTACTGATGAGCGTGCTCATGCTCACACACATGCTTATGTCACCACCACCCTAATCACAAAACCTTACCAGCCTTAAGCATTATAAATTTATCTCATTTATTTAGGTAGACATAGTTCCAGAAGTACATGTTAATGCCTCACCAACAGGAAAATAAATTACATTGCAAAATATGGAATAGAAATGAGCACCAGGAATGAGATATGCAGCAAATACAAGAGCATATATTTTTAATTAATTTAATTAATAGAATTTACAAAGTCATTAGTGGAGGCACAAGAAAGACACCTAGGATGACTGTGCCTATTTTTTCTATTTTTAATAGAAAAAGCTTGTTTGCATTAGACTCTGCAAAGTGAGTAAGTGCAAGTATTTCCTTCTTAGATCCCATTCAGCACTTGGGTCTATGTAGCTTTTCAAATAAAAACAAGAGAATCTGTTAGGATTATTGGCATCTTTGAAAATTAGGGCAGTGAGGTGATTTTCCAAAATCTGAAATTGGAGGGTAGTTTCAGGAATGAAAACCCTCAGCACTTTCCATAAACCCTGGGATTTATGCAACTGAACCTCACATCCCAAAGCAGTCACTTCCCCTAATCCTTGCTTCAGGGGAAGGTAATGGGAGACTTTTCTTATTTAAACTTTCCATGAGGCATAAAATGTAAGGCAAGTAAATAAGTTACTTAGGATTTATTTCAACCCACAAAGCCCATTGTGGGTTCTCAGATGAAGTTCTTCCCTCTAGCAAGAATGTAGCCAACTCTGTTTTTCTATCACCACCACCACCACCACCACCAGCACCCACCCACCCAGCCACCCCTCTCATTGTCTTTTAAGAAATCAGTTGTTTTCAAGTTGACTTTAAGTTGCATTTAATACAAGAGGTCTAATTAATGCACGAATCAGCCTCCAGTGTCTACTCTCCTCTTTTTGTTCGATATAATAACCATCAAAGATTTCTTGATGTGTAAGTAGGCAGGATATCCCAGACAATCAACAAGTGTTTCTGATATTGGAGACAATGTTTTAGAGACAATGACTGAAATATATGAATGGGTTTCCAAGGCAGTAATAAAGTACTTAACAGTAGAGATCTGCTCTCTGAGATCCTGACTGACCTAATGGTTTTTTTAGCCTCTGTAACCATGGTTACCACCTTTTCTTAGGGGCTTCTTTAACATCTGAACTGAATAAAAAGTACTTTCTAACAGTTCTAGTAAAATAATTAAAGAAATGTTACATATTGAATGTCATCTGATAATTGCTATTCTTACTACTATGTGAAAGTAATTAATTTCTTAGAACAAGTTCAAAATGATGCATATACATATAGTTTACTCTGAAGTTTAAATAGCAATCTGAGGAGGCTTTGAGACAGCACAAATCTATTACAAAGAAAATAACATTTTCTGTCATGTAGTTTTAGATTACCATGGATAAAATGGCATAATGAATACAGTCTCTAAATAGTAAGGGTCTTTAATGCCTTCTACACTCTATTACTGAAGAAAAGTAAATTATATTCATGATGGTATTAAGCAGACTTTACCAAGGACCACAGAAGACCAAAAAAAGTATGTGGATTAATTGTTAACTGGGCAGTTGTTTAATTATTGGTCAAGTGTTTATATCTTATCAAGCAAACATAGATGAATATTTGTATGTATGGATAGCAGTGTGAAACTAAATTGTTTTTACATGGCCTATTTGATTGTATTAGAAAGATATTATCTAAGAATAATTTTTGAAGAGAGCTTGATTCCAAACAATCTTCTCAACATACAAATTTATTTTTTTATTCATTCCTTTATTTTGCTTTTTTGTTTGTTTCTTTATTTTCTATTGTGCTGTGAAATTGTATCTGGATATTACTAATAACCCTGTTAAATAACCCTCTCATGAAATAGTTTTACTTTTAATCAAAAGAATGTATGAACCAATATATGAAATAATTGAGATACTACTGCATTCTAAAACCTCAAACTAATATGAATGTTCAAAGATTAAAGTATATAATAAGAATTTCTAAATAGAAGACTAACAGTTTAATTCACTGAAGTCAAATTTGCCAATTTCTTTAGGGTTTAGTTTTGAGGACCAAAACAAATTCGAGTAACTTTTTTCTTCACAATAGATCTTTTTAAATTAGAGATTCCTTATCTTTATGAAATGCATACATGCATTTTAATTTGGCCCTATTTGTGATAAAATTGTTTATAGAATGTTGTTCAATTTAGGAGATATGTTAATAATTTTATTCCACTAATGTAGCACTTCCTTCTGAATGTACAAACAGCTAACAATTTAATTAGCATATAGGAAGTGATAATCTAACTCTTGAACACGAATGTAGTTACCTCAGAGGAAGTATATGCTTTCCATATGGTTTGTCCTACCCAGAAATAGAAAAGCAGATCATTTATCTGAAATACAAGGAATATATATTTTAAGAGAATAAACACATGAACAAACAGTTTAATTTCAAATAGCCAAAACATGTTGTCAGACAGCTAAATGTCATTTTACTGGTAAATCATGCTAACCATGTATATGCTTGTTTTGTTTGACTAGTAATTCATTTGTCTTGAAGAAATTACCAAACTTAGTGCTTCGCAAACAGCACAGACAGAACATTTGTGTCCACATCTCCACAGTAGATAAAGCTTATCCTAAGACTGGTTAAGTGCTAGAAAGTCGTCTTGAAAGAGTTCATTAGTCATTTCCAAATCTTACTGTGAAAAAAGGAGAGATCAAATAAATGAAAGACAAAAGCGTATGACTCTTTTTAACAGCACTTGGAGAATAAAATACACTGTCAATATTCCTCCACAGAGAAACTAAAAGCAGAGAAAATCTTACCTAAAATGGTTTGGGTAAAGATTCACCATGATGTCCTGGAGTTCAATTGCTCAATTTAAATAGTCAAAATAGAATTGTGATTCTAATTTCTAAATTAAATCTAGTGACTAGAAACAAAGAAAAAAAGTTGATACAAGAACATCCCTAAGTGCCCTTAGTGTCTCCTCCCTAGATACTTCAGTCAGGGAGCCTGGAAATCTGCAGTTTTGAAAGAATTCAAAGCACTGAATCAATGACCCTACAAGTAATACAGAAAAGGAATAATAATCAAGCCATACTCTTTGTGATCAGGAACTGAGAATCTGAATTAGTAGCTGTTTTGTTGTTGTTGTTTTGTTGGTGATGAGTTTTTGTTTTTGTTTTATGACAGTTTGCTTTCCTTCAGGAAATGAATTTTTATTTCAGTCACTTTTGGGCCATTGACATTCTTAGAAGCAAAAGAATTAAAATGTAGTTACTTTAGTATTACTAAAAAATACAAGTTTACTACAGTTTTCCAAAAATAAAAAAAAAATGTAATCAATTATCATACACTAAGCAAACTGAGTAAATGTACAGCAGCATGCACTGCAGCCTGACTCCATTTGAATGAGGTGCAGTTGCCTTTTATTTGGACTTCTGTGTAAGGAGCTGCCAGATAGCAAAATGAGAGGTTTATTTAGCATCTGTGGGAAGCTTACAAAAAAGCTAAGTCCTCATTCCTTCTAACATCTTAACAGCTCTACAGTTTCTTACAAAATATGTTTTATCGTTTCAAGAAATGCTGTTAACCTCGCAGTTTTAAAACTGAATGAACAAGGCCTCTTGGACAAATTGAAAAACAAATGGTGGTACGACAAAGGAGAATGTGGCAGCGGGGGAGGTGACTCCAAGGTTAGCCTCAATGTCACCAAGAGCGGGTAAACAGTATGTTAAGTAATAGGTGCATCTGCTGGGAGACATATGGTAAACTCGTCCATAGATGGACTGTCAGTCAAACCCCTTCACAAACTCAAGTATGCAATTACTGTCAAAGCAAAAATATTGGCAACGATTACTAGTTTGCTGACGTACTCACAAGCTCAATGGTAAAAAATGTGGGAAACTCTGGCTTTACAGCAGTGGGCCCTGTGAAAGTGGTTTTGGAAGAAGAAAGTTTCTGAGAAAGTAATGATAGAAAAAAAGGGTGAAGTTGATTTGTTTTCCACATTAATGTTTGGCCAGACTTCTGCCAAATGTTTCCAATTAAAAACAATAACGTGACTCCACCTTGATTTGTCTAGAGTTCCAACCAGAAAACTTTCGCAGACAAAGAATTACAGTGCACCAGTGCAAAAGTAGTTACATGGTTTATGTAATGTTTTTCATGAATGGATGAAGCAGAAAATAGTAAGACTACAAAGTAATCTTACCACATCTTTGTCTTTACTTCACACATACCATACATAATTCCTGCTTCATCATTTTTTTAACTTCTTATTAACTTCTTAAAAAAATAAGGTGTATAATTAAGTGATATTCTAACTTGTGACCTCGAAGAATATCACCCCTACCTTCCTCTGTCTCTGTCTCTATCTCTCTATATATAACAGTGTCATCTATATCTGTAACTGTGTTTACAGATGAAGAAAACAACAAAATAGAAAAATTCTGACTGAGAAACTACCTTCAACTCATTAAAAACTTAATCAAAACTTTAAATTATACCTTTAAAATCATATGGCTGGACTATAATTTTTCTCACTAGACCATCTAAACTTGAGTAGGATCTGTATTTTCAATGAGTAGCTGTCTACATATCTGCAGGTCTCCCCACCCTGATCCCAGTCTTAAAAAACTCTCAAACTGAGTTCATTAATATTTTCCTATAATAACCAGCCGTACTGTAGAAGGGGAAAGAGTAAATATTTTGCCACCATTCCATGCACCATCTCTCTTAATCCTCTCATTGTTCTCTGATCCTAATTAATTGGTAAAGAAAGCACAAAGTCCAAGCAGCTTGCTCGCGAACTCTGAACACTTCATAACTACAGATGGCATTTATGTGGAAAAGAAGTGGAATAGAGTAAGAGATTGAGGAGGTGAGAACCAAACCAGAGAGATTAGATTATGAGAAAAGACGAGAACAGTAAGAAGTCATGTTTGCTTTCTTTGTAACAGCCTGCTCTTTTAAGAACCAATCAGACCCTCAAAACTTAATCTAGCCTCCAGAAAGCTAATATAGTCTTTCAACAACTCAGATCCCTTACAACTACACAGACCTCTTAAAGGACCCTCCACTTCAGTGCAATTACATTAAAGCTTTAAGCCTCAAATAAATTTTAAGAGAACACATTTATATTATACACACTTATATTATACAATTAGCTCAAAGTGTAGTGAATAAATTAATTTTATTTTGAACTCAAACGTCCCTAGAATTTTCAAATGGTTTTCATAAACATATACATATATTTATATATCAGGAAGAAAGTATTCCTGTGTGAAAATTAGAAATGTCAGAAAATATACTACACCAGCAACAGAAAACTTAAAATGTATATGTTGGGATTAGAGAGATGTGTCAGAAGTTAAAAGCACTGGTTGCTCTTCCAGAGGACCAGGGTTCAATTCCCAGCACCCATATGGCAGCTCACAAGTGTCTATAAGTGCCAGTTCAAGAGGATTGGACAGGCAAAACATCAGTGCACATAAAAATACATACATACATACATACATACATACATACATACATATTTTTAAAAGTACATGTTATGTGGTCAGAAATTTCTGTTTGAATAGTTTATAATCACAAGCCTTCAGACAGTATAAAGATGCTTTATGAATTAATTTTTTCTACAAATATGATTATCAATCCTATTTTAGGGTAAGAAAAAGACTGTCTAGAGAAAAACATGGAAAACAGAAATATGTGTATGCTAGGAAAATCTACACAACAAAAATCATTATGACTTTATTAAATGAGGGGTTCAAAACTGTGTCAGTGAGTTGGAGAGACTGTTTGGTGTATCACAGACCTGAGTAAGCTTGTGTGGTCTGGTCATAATCATTGGTCTAACTTTAGGAGTCCTAAAAGCAAACCTTTTATTCCCTTGCTGTATATTGTCATAGTTTTCATAAAGATGAACTAGAAAATTATGTTCTAAACCACTATTTTTGGTATTGCCAGAGAACTTTCCAAAGTGTTGTAAAATTTGACATAAAATACTCACTTAAAATGAAATTATAGTATGTTCTGTTTTCCCATGGGAGTTTAGTTTCCATATTCATTCAAGGCTTATCACCGAAAGAATAAGGACATTGCAATCTGAATGTTAATAATACCCTACTACGAATTCATGAGAAAAGATAATATTTAAAGATCCTAACCTAACTTAGGTCAGAGCAAATTACCTGGTAGTGCTTATACATTTAAAATTCACTCTGTATCTTCTTCAAGTAACTACTGTTCTTTTGAAACTTACCTCTTTTCTACTGTTTTACTTGATCTCCTTCAAAAGAGATAAAATAAGGATTAAAAGTGATAAATGGAAAAAATCAGCAAGTTCCAAAGCATCAGTTAAGGGTATAAACTACAGATATAAAATAAATAGATAGATGATAGATAGATAGATAGATAGATAGATAGATAGATAGATAGATAGATAGATAGATAGATAATAGATAGATGATAGATAAAACCAAATCCACAGAGGTCTCCAAACAAACTATCCAAAATTTGACTGATTTGGTTTTGAGATACAAATCTTAATAGATGACTTGGTTTGTCATCTGGGAAGAAGAAATCATAACCATAGCCTGTCCCACACACAGGAAGGTTTCTGTGAGGAAAGAATTGATCCAGCTTGCTTTTGCAGGATTGTAACTGGATGGGGGTAATTGAAATTCTCAGCTTCCAGTCAGCTGGAAACATTAGAGTTCTAGTTTAATTGAACAGTGTGGCAGCACCTACAGAGAGAAAGAGGCATACTCCCTGTCTTTTCCCTCAAGGAACTTACAGTTTAAGACAATCAACAACAGAACTACTGAGAGCTCCTGGAGCAGCTTGGCTGTCACAGACTATAGCTACACAGAAATCAGTGCCTGACGCCCATTCCTAACACTGAAGCTCTGACTACAGTAAGCTCCAGCCATAAAAGTTTAACAAGAGTTGTAAGAGAAAGGATTTTTATCTTCCAGGGAAAACAGCAGATGAGAAATCATATGCAAATAAAATCTAGTTTAAAAATCCTTTCCTTGTACTAATATTATTGTAAAACTATTTTTGATCATTATGAAAATTTAGACCCATCCTTAAGAGTGAGTAAAATTACAAATGCATTTATTGACAGGAGACCAGTAAAAATATGGATGACAATGTGTAAAACTTTTTGTACAAGCCAATATCTGTATGCGGTTTTAAGTCTTGACTTTAAGATTTTTGGCAATGTTCTATATCTATCATTATAGAACTAACAACAGCTATATAATGAGTATCTTTTGTATTTCTGTGCTTTAGTGTCACACATACAGATATATACATGAATGTGAACATTCGTAAAAATCATGTAGTGGATATAATCCTTAAATTATAGATTCCTGGGAATTATATTCCACCGCATAATTCCTCTGTTTCAATTTGGCCTTTGCTTGAAAGCAGTTGATGCCTGATTTTAAATTTTATACTTATAAGACACTTATTCTCTGATGCTAAAACCATGGAAATGAATGCAAGACTAAGAGACAGTCATAGAAAAAAATTATTCACAAGCAGAAAGGCTGTGATAGAGAAGAAAGCATTAGTCACCCATCTCTTGAAAAGGGCTCTCCTGGGATCACATGCCTTCCTTCATATGTACACTTCCTCTGGGTGAATATTAGATATAGCTAGTAATAAATATCTGATATCTGGACTGCCAGTGTAACGTCACCCTCTAAAACCAAGCTACTTGGGCGAGTAGCAGAAGAGACAACGAAGCAGGGGAAAGAGAGAGGGGATAGAGGGAACGCTTACATGCAGAGAGTAGAGGAAAAGTGGCAATAGTCCTCATCTAACCCACAAATGCTGCCGTTAGCTCTTCTAGAAGGAAGTTAAAAGAGAGACTACTTTCATATCCCACATCGTTTGTTTTCCGTATCTAAATCCTCTATTTCTCAATCCAACCCATTCAAACATGCATTGCATTGTATTATAATTTGTCTATCATGTGTTGGATACTTTTTAGGCTTTGGAATGTTAACTTGAAGTCCTAAACATTTTTTTTTTAATATTAGTAATGGTAGCACCAAGGCAGTAGAGTTGCCAGACATTAAAGATTCCCAGGAAATACAGATCTCAACACACATAAATCCTATATAGTACCAATTCCAAGAAAAAAAAAAACTGATCTTCTATATAATCCTCTAACTAATTTAATTGAGCCAGTTGGTATTTTGGTAAGTACTATTTTAGGAAGAGAATAAGTTTCAGGCCCTTATTATCACGGAGTTCAGAGGACTGAGCTGAGCTCTGGGGATCCTAAGTGTGCATACAGCTAGACTGGTATAAACAACAAGGCCTAGATCAACTGAGTTCACTTCAGCACCGCTAATGAGCCTATTCTAAAGTACAACTTTTAATAGAGGTTTAAATTATTGCAGATTTTTAACCACTAAACAGCTAAAACTTCAGGATCATGGCAAATACTGATTATTTTTTAAACAGAATAAACCTACACCATAGTAAAATTTTATGACACTGTTCAAAAGCATGCTTATTTTTGATCATATTTTATTCCACATGAAAAAAATGAACTATGATTAGAGGGGAACTGATTTTATTATAAATTTGTACAAACAATTTTTAACAAAATTTTTGACTCTTTGATGTATTTTTAAGTAAAAACCTATGAAGCCAGACTATCACATGCCAAGGTTGGATAATGCCCAGCTATTTAGTTGTTAAGCCGTTTTTAATCTTGGAATCTTTATTTATTATCATTAATTTATTTGTAATAATTTAAAATTTTAGGCAGATGATTGCTTATTTTGATGTCATTTAGATTAAATACTGTAATTCAGAAAGAAAATACAAGCATAAGCTTATACTTTAAAATATCAACTGGCATATTTATCTTGTAAAGACCTTTACTACTTAAACTGGCCCCTGGTCAGCAATACTGGAGATACCCTTCCCCTCGTATGAAACTTACTATGGAGTCAATTCATTGATGGATACCATCCACGTAGTCGTAGGAAGTAAGTAAAAGCTCACTAGCTAAATCATAGCGGGTAGGGTGTAGCTTGATGCCACTTCTATTCTTTTTGAAGAAGAAAAGCATGCCGTTCCTGGATTCTGATTGCTTCTCACGTATATATGGGGGAAAATTACAATTGTTCATGAAATCCAACCAGGCCAATAGTTTTGGATTCACAGTAATTGCATACATTTTTATTTAAAAATCCTCCCTAGCAGCGTGTGCCTGTTACATAAAGCGATGGAGCAGGCCCCAGTTTTATGTCTGATTCCAAACCTGGGCCTACAGTTCAAGACATAGAGCCTACTGTGGCCTTTGCTCCGTCACTTTGCCATGCGATTCTAATGTAGTTTTACTTGAATAACATAAAATAACATATATAATGTTATTTATGTTATTTTCCACGTGAAGAACTCCTGTAAACCTTGCCGTTTTGAAACTCAGTGAGGCAGGCGTCTTAGACAAGCTGAAAAACAAATGGTGGTACGATAAAGGTGAATGTGGACCCAAGGACTCGGGAAGCAAGGTCAGTCGGTGCAGTTCGGGGCTCTTGTATGTCAAACGAACAGTAATGGGGAGCGATTATCCAACGTTTATGAAACTTTTAAACGCTGAACTTTTCTGTCTCCTTAGCCATTACCTAATTTAGAACTTAATGCCATAAATTTCAACCACAGAGCCTATCCATAGGCAATAAAACTGCTTCCCAGTAGGAAAGATTTAAAATAAACTAAATTAACTCAAATATATATAAAATAATAGCAATATCAATATTGATTTCAAACTTATTTATCACTAATCTTTGTCAGGTTTCTTTTTTGATAAAGAGACGATAAAATATGTATTTTAAAAGTTGGTTCTCAAAACAGGAAATGGGAAACTTATCAGCAGTTATGGGGGAGGTCAATATATTAAATAACACTCAGGGTCATATGACTACACTGCCAAGCATTCTGCTTTATTTCAAATTTCTGTTTTGACAGATCAATAAAATGAACCTCCACATCTATTCACTCAAAATACGTTATTTCAAAACTCAGTATTAACACTGCATTTCCACAAGTTCTAAGGTCCTTTGTCCATGAATTTATCTTTGGAGATTTGCTTATTTTTATTTTGTATGCATGTTTATTTGCATGCATGTATGTTTCTGCATTCTCAGATCCCAGAAGCAGGTATTGGATGCCCTGGAACTGGATTTGCAAACAGTTGTTAGCTGTATTTCTATTCTGGAAAACCAACCCAGGTCCTTTGGAAAGTGCTCTTAACCACAGACCATCTCCTCAGTCCCTGCTTGGGAATTACTTACAGAGCAAGGCAGAAACATATAGACTGAGTCTGGGAAGTACAAAGTTACACATTTATTATCATTCGAAAAAAACCAATTTTATCATTGATTCAGTATACATAATAGAATATATTTAAGAGAGGCCAGATGATGCACATGTTTAAAACCAGCATTCAAGATATATGTATTACCTAAGCCATAATTGAAGATTTTTTTAAATTTTTTTTAAATTTTTTTAAAATTTTTTTTGTATACCGTATTGTAGAAAGAAAGCAAATTCGTAGTTATTGTAAGACATTGAAACAAGTGACTGACTAACATTTGGGGAGTTTGTATTAATTCTAAGAAACAAAGTCAGACTAAAAGGTCATTTTTCAGAACTTACACATATTTAATCATTATTGTCTGCCTTTGAACAAATGTGGAGTAAGACAAGCCTGGCCAAATAATAAACTGTCACCTTGTATCCTGTTGTAAAGTAAGATAAATGCACATGATTAAAACCAAGTTACCTTAAAATAACATGGCCAAGCAGACAAATGCATATATAAAAAAGATGTATGCATCACTTGAATTAAATAATTTCCTAATATAACTACTGAAGAACTTGAACCAGATTTTGCATGGAAGGTTTTCTAGGATATATGATGGCTGCAGAACACTCTTTAGGTCATCCTAAGTCTTTTTTGCATTAATGTATATATATATATATATATATATATATATATATATATATATATATATACAGTTTGTGGTAATTCTTTTTAGTTATTGTCACAATTTAATATCTCCTAATCATCTGTTTGTCTATTTCTACATCTGAAAATAAGGGAATACTATAGTGAGAATCTGAACTATAATATACCTAAAATATTAACTGTTAAGCATTTTAACTGGCAATGAAGTTTTTAATCCATAAAATAAGTATAAATATGTAAAATAAATAAAATATAAACATAAATAATTTGTTTCTAAATTTGTATATATTTCATTAAAATTTATTTTTAAAAAGCTGGAAGTGGTGACATATATCTGTAACGCTAAAACTTGAGAGATCGAGGCATGAGAATCAGGAGTCAAAGTTCGCTTCAGCTGCAGAGTATACAAACCTAGACTACATGAGACCCTGACTCAAAAAGAACGTTAAATTAAATTAAAATTTAAAAGTAGTATAATACTTCCTGTATATTGTATTATATATTATTGTATCTTTTATATACAATAGTATATTACATATACTATTGCTAAGTAGTATATAAAACTCAAAATTAATATTGTTCAGTATGTTTGTGGATACACTGGAAGGATAAATAATGCATGCCCTGGTGCCGTATTATTTACACATGCTTGATAAGTTAATGATGAATAGTATCATACTGATGATTTAAAGAACCTTAGTAATATAAAGCTAGGAAATTCGGAATGATAACGATTCAAGAGAAATATTAAACACTAAAATGATCTTTTAAAGGATTTAAAGCCCAAAGACTTTCTTTTTCATATTTTGAGTATGACATGTTTAAAGTCTATATAAGTCTTCTTATGTCTCCCTATGTAAATATATGGATGCTTACATATGGTTAAGTGTAGTGCTTTTCATTGCATATTTAGTAATGATAAAATGTTTGGGTTTTTATGGAATGTAATTATATGTAATTTATTGGTAATTATCATAATTTTCTTCTCCCAAGAGCAATAAGCTTTATATTTAAATCTATAAACCTGCATCAGTGACATACCTGTAAATAATTCTCAGCTAAATTAAAGATTTACTTCAATTGACTATTTAGACTTCATGTGTCCCTTTCCCTTTTGGATGTGACATTCCCATAGTTAACTGCTGTGTCTTTATCCTTTCTAGGACAAGACGAGCGCCTTGAGCCTGAGCAACGTGGCAGGCGTCTTCTACATTCTGGTTGGCGGCTTGGGCTTAGCAATGCTGGTGGCTCTGATAGAGTTCTGTTACAAGTCCAGGGCAGAGGCGAAGAGAATGAAGGTGGCAAAGAGTGCACAGACTTTTAACCCAACTTCCTCGCAGAATACCCACAATTTAGCAACCTATAGAGAAGGTTACAACGTATATGGAACCGAAAGTATTAAAATTTAGGGGTAGGACTTAGGGCCTACGCCAGTGAGCGGGGGATGCATCCTGTGAACGCGGTGTCGTGACCTGTCTGTCCTGTGGTGGTATTGCTTGCTTCTGATTAGAGCTTTCTATTTTTGACATTTTCAGTGCACAGTGGTTCTGTTTTTTTGTTGGCTGCAGATGTTCTGTTTTAAACTTTATGTTGCCAATAGATATCTGCATTGCAATGGTCAGAAACATGAAAACATATCAGAATTGCTCCCCCAAAATGATGTAAACAGCATGATTTCCCTAAAATTGAGAGAATTAGAAATTAGATTTAAGCTTTCCTAAACAGAGACAGAATAAATTGCTATGACAACTCATAAATGCTAAGAATATAAGAGCAAAACCTATTTTAAATGATCAAAAACCTAGAGATTTTCCCATTTTTGATAAAGTAGCAAAGTAAAAAAATAATACATATAAAGAATCCAACCCATAATAAGGATTACATGAATTTTAGCCCCCATCTCACCCGCATTCCATTTGCCATTCATCTTCCTATATCTGAAAGTATCACGCCCTGTTGCTTTTTCATCTAACAGTAATCCTAAGGCCAGATAAGGAGACAGACATTACTGCCAGAATTGTGGATACGATGCACATTTATTAGATGAGCTTCAACTTATAAAAAGTCTCTCTCACACACATATTCATATATATATGAAAGATGTAAGGAAAAACAAAAGATTGCATTGAGTTATTATACATGTTTTCCATTTTGTTTCTCTTTAAGAAAATGTCATCCACACTTATACTCTCTGATCCTGTCACAGTAAAAATGATATGCATTCAGGAGAACACAGGAGGAACTTTCCTGTTTCAGAATCTAAACATCTACATCTTTCCTTTAATGATCAAAAGTGCTTTTAAAACAAAACCTTAGTGGACTTGATTTTGGTATTGCTCTTCAAAAATCAGAACTCAAACAAAGCCATTTTTTATTTGTTCTGATTGCATAATAAATTAGTCTTTAAACCTTAAAGAAACAGTGAGTACTTGAGGCAGCTAAAAGTCAAGACAATAAATATAATTTAGTAACATGTACATCTGAGGTTATATGAGGAAAATGTAATTGATTTGATATTTATTGACATAGAAACTTCTGAAAACGTTATGTTTTGAAAGGAAAGACTGAAGCCATTCCAGATCATCTAGTATTAACTACTTCTCTCCATCTTCTAGAAAGCTATGGCTGAACACAATTGCACAGAGAACTACACTGTGTTTTTTCTCCATTTTGTGAAAATATAAAAAACTAAGCCCTGAGTTCCCTCAGATGAAAACACAGTAAGCACACCTTCTGATAAGGTCAGGAGCTTTGAGAGAAATCATTTGAACATTCATGGAAATAATCAAACTGATTTTCTGTAAGAGTTGTCAGCCATTAAGAAAATGCTTTTATCCTAATTTTTGCTGAGTTGAAGAGAGATTTTCAAAATGTAGGGATAATACCTGACCTGTGTCATTTGGAATGAATTCTGCTATCAATTTTATACTATACCTTATTTTTGTGTTACTAAAACTGAATTTCTTATTAATTCCAATCATTGGAGAGAGAGAGACAGAGAGAGACAGAGAGACAGATATACACACGCTCATAGATACAAAGAGATATATATACACACAACTAATAGTAAGTGAAGGTAACTTTTACAAATCAGATTTTGATTTCAAGGGACTAATGGAAGCAAATCAAGTAAGAGTGCTATTTTCCCCCTAAAGTTCCCATTATATGCCAAACTATTCTAAACATAAAAGCAACTGATATTTCTATAAAGTCGTATCCTAAGTCCTTGTTAGGAAAACAGGTATTCATCTTCACTACAGTCACTTGGACAACTATTCGATGTGCCTTTTATTTTAATTACAGTTAATGACTACACACAATTTGAGTTGAGCTTTTGTTGTCACCAAGGTGAATGACTTTAACCATTTTCACTAAAACAGCTTTTCATACAATAATTAATTTCATTAACATGCAACTAGGCTAACACAATTTCCAGAGCATATCAAACACTGGAATAGAATTTCCTAAAGAATTAGATAAATTTTAGTTCACAATAAACAAGCATATTATATGCAAGAGAAGTGGAGGTCCTAGTCACTACACAGCTTATGGGACATCTCCTTTACCTTATTTTCCTCTTCTTAACACTGGTATTTATTTGGTAGGAAAGCTCAGGAGGCAATAAATACACAATAAATACACATGATCACAGAGTCTCCTTCTCTTCTAAATAGTGTTACCTTCTCCTACCTGAGAAGTTAGGAAATAAGGGGTTAGTGAGTGTTAAGAGGCCAGCCACCATTCTTTCAGCACTCCCATGTAGCCATTCCATTCCATGCATTGTCAATTATGCCTACCTGTGATGCACCTTCTTGAAACATAAACCTTAAACATGAACCTTGATTCCTAACAGGCATAGAGTGAACTATATGTCACTGTGCTGTTCTGAGTCATGTCTATAATTCGTGTGAATGAATGAAGGTGTGTGGATAGGTCTATGTGAGGAAAACAGGAAATGTGTGTGTGTGTGTGTGTGTGTGTGTGTGTGTGTGTGGTTTAGCAATTTGTCATGATTTAAGAAACCATTCTTTGCATCATAAAGAAAACATCTAACAAGAAAATATTATGATTTATAGAGTGTCAATCAAACACAAGAAAAGTTTTAAGCTTCTTTGAAAGTATTAGAGTGTAGAGACCAACAAGTGGAAAGAATCTTCCTATCCAGATTTGCTCAATAAACAAAACAAAACCAAAAACCAGATTTTATGATCATATAAATATCTTTTAAATATGTAGAACCTAAAACTTTAAGCTGATTAATTCTTCTCCAGCTGTATCTGAGTTTTTCTTTCCCTCATAAGCAATTTGCCTATGACCAAAAAGCACAGGGGAAAAAATGCAGATGTCTAATTATCGATATTTTGGTGTTTGATGTGCCACGTTTTGTTGAAGCAACAGAAATATCATAACACCTGGCATCCTCTCTGTTTCCTTTTCATGCAACCCAGCTGACTTTTTCCGAAGCCATAAGAAACAAAGCCAGGTTATCCATCACTGGGAGTGTGGGAGAAAACGGCCGTGTGCTGACCCCCGACTGCCCCAAGGCCGTACACACAGGAACTGCAATTAGACAAAGTTCGGGATTGGCTGTCATTGCATCGGACCTACCATAAAAACCAAAAAAATAATTGAGTGCCTTAATCAAACTGTGTTGGTGACTGATGGAAACGCAGCCCCGAGGGACAGGCCAAGCGTGGATCTTGGATAAACCCATCCTTTGGCTGAGAGCAGGAAAGACACACTGAGCGCCAGACAGAACCAGTGCATGAGTTCAGCACGGAAATGCAGACTCGGAATTTTTTTATCAGGAAAACTCACAATTTAGTTTTTTGGGGGGAGTGGGTGGGGTATATCTGGGATAGGTGTATTAACAGCAACAAATTTCACTTGACCGCACTTAAAACTAATCAGACTGGCCAGTTAGCGCATTAAACTGTGAAGTTTTTTCTCAAAAAGGTCTATGTCACCACAGCAAGAGATTCAACAGTTATTAGAGGTCAAGGAACCTGCTACCTGTGTCTCCAGAACACCCATATAATCGATGGAATAATCTGCAGATGAGACAAGCAGTCACTAAGATCTGATAAGAAAATAATAAATATGTAAATCCTGTGAAAAAAACAACAAAATTTAAAGAAAGTATTTACAGTTACTTTGGAAATAAAACAATACTGAAACATGCTTGCTTTTTAACCGAAGTAAATCCAGTAGAGGACAACACAATTGTTTTTTCTAACCATCTTAGGGAACAATACATTGCAATAATTGACAATAATGCCATCACTGTAATAAACTTTAGAGACTTTTTTTTAATGTAAAAGTTGTTGGTCACCTTGTTTCCTGTAACCTTCACTCTGTCACACAAGTTGGCTCATAGGCTGTGTTTGTCTATCAGAAACAAAAAGAAAAAACAAGTGAAGAAAATGTAGGCATGAAGTCATCCATCTGCAATGTAGAATTTAACAGACTACGGGTCACTCATGTTGTCAATATAATTTATAATCCTGTTCTATGTACAAAATTGTGGGTTTTTTACCCACCCAAAAGAATAAAACAACAATTTTTCTTACAGTATCTATCCATAGAGCTTAAATTTTTCCCTATGATTATTTGAGAAACCCGAAACTCCATAGGGGATTGTAGATGTCAAGGGATAGGCTGTATAAGAAAATGTAGCTTGTCTTTATTATTTCTGCTCACTTTTTCTAGATCTTGGGCTTATTTGTTAACAGATTTAGTTGTCAAAGGTAGAGTCCTTGAGTCTGGGAATGAACTACTGTTCTAAAACCAACACAACCTTCGTGGAAATTTTACTTGTCTCTATTTTGCTGCATAAAATTCAGTGTCTCTTGGGAATTCCCCCTCATTCCGATACTAAATTCTTTGAAGACACTGATAACAGTTTGGGGTAGACTACAGTTGAAAAACTCAATCCTTATTTCTACCCAGTAATTGTGAATAAAATTATACCATATTCATTTTTATGAAAACAAAGCCCTTATGATTCAAAAGATCTGCTTCATTTGAAATGACGAATGAGTTCAACGATACAGATTTTTTTTTAAAAAATGACAGATTGAAGGATCTTTGCAGAAAGCACAAGTTAGGATGACTCCCAAAATGTGACCTTGAAGGATGAGCCGAGTTTTCACAGGAGGCGGTGCTGATAAGATCCTAAGGGGCTAGCAGCACACGACGCCGCTCCTTTTGTCAGTGTCCCACGTACAAGGCTTGTGCAACAAGATGGCCTAGTGAGGGCACAGGGTGTGATGTCATTGGAAGCTCTGTCAGAAATATGGAGGATTGGTTTTCTTCCCTCAATGCTCACAATCCCCTTTCAACATCTGTGTGTCACTACAATGTAATCCTTATAACATATGTATGCACTGTCCCTCGGGAAAGGTCACTTCTCTGTTGATGAGCAAAGATTCATTTCACAACCTGAGCCCCTCCCTGGTGTCTTCCTCTTCTCTCACTCCTTCCCAAGCTCTCAGCCAGCAAATGGAACTCCACAGCACACGGATCGCGGCATCTATCCTCTCTGCGGTCTGTAGATCTCTGTCTTTACCTGACTCCCACACATCCTTCAGCCCTGAAATTGAATTGTATGTGTCCTGAGAAGATCTTCATGATCACCCACCACCCCTGCCCATGATACTGAGTTACGTGCCATTCTTAATGTTTCTTACCCATCACGGCACTCATCCTACTGCATTGCAATTGCCTGTGTACTTGTCTGTAAACTACTAGACTGTCAGCTCCTTGAGGGCAGGGACTGTGTCTATCTTGTTCACAGTTGTATCCCCAGCACTCAGCACAGTGCCTGGCATACTGTAGGTGCTTAATAAATATTTGTTGAATGAAAGAGTGAATTGAGTTGATTTAATTGAGGTTAAAAAAAAAGCCACCATATTTTCCCCTTAACAGTTCTGTGGTGGAAGTTAGGTATAGAGTGGGTTGAAATCAAATTGAATGTTGACTAAATAAAATTGGAAAAAAAGAAACACATTTAAGAGATTTAATAAATTTTATTTTTCTTTTCTTTTTTTTTAAATAGGAAAGTAAATTTTATTTGGCATATTATAAAGGGCAGTGGGCCTGGAAGTGTAAAGAGTACTACCTGAAGCGATTTGATATGTTCCCTAGATGGGCAGGTTCCCTGTTTAATTATAATTATGTAGCACAATTTATTTAGCTAGAATATTTTCAAGAAAATTAAGTGCTTCAGAACAAGGATGAAGCTTGGCATTTAGATACACTTTTAAAATAGCTGTCATTCAAGTTTGGAGTGGGTTTGGGTTATGTTAAGACTTCCATTTGTTTACAGCATAAGTAATTTTGGAAAAAAATAATAATTTTGACACTTCTCTGGAGACTTAGCAGCAGAATTGTTATTCTCAAAAGTTAACTCAAATGTGTGATTTTAAAATAAGTGAAACACCTAGAGACAAACAACCCCGGGCATCCCACTCAAACTAGAATTAGTGCATTGGCATGGAGACATCAGTGCTAACCTAAGAACTTTTCAAGAATACTTAGACAGAGTGTGGTGGCACATACTCACATACTGGAATGCAGAGACAGGCAGATGTGTGTGAGTTTGAGGCCAGGCTAGTTGTCTACAAGGGTAGTTAGTTGGGCCACCTGGGATAAACCAAGATTTAATATTTAAAGGCTAGATATAAGTCCTGGGCTTGCTGGTATAACACTTTGCCAGCATATGCAAGATCCTGACTTCAGTAACCAAAACTGTTAAAAAAAAAAAAATCCAACAAAAGGTACTCTGCTGCTGATTCCATCACAGACTTTTTCAACAAAGGGTCCTGGATTTAAATGTTTTTTAAGAAGTTTCCATGGGTACCTCTGAATTTAATATTTCTGTTGTAGAAACTAGGGGTTTGAGACACAAAAATGTTTTTAAATTGTTCAGTGTATTTGCTGTTTGTTTTTTTGTTTGTTTTGTTTTGTTTTAATTAAACTATTACATCCCCTTCTGGGTAAAAATAAAAATAAAACATGTGAAAATGAAAGCTGATGAAATGGCTTGTGTGTGTGCCATGCATGCCTGGGGACAACCGTTGTAAAGCTGGAAGGAGAACTGACTGCACAGAGTTGCCCTCTGGCCTCCATATATGCACTGTAGTATGCATGTCCTTACACACATTCATCATATACACATAATAATACTACATAAAAAAAAAGTTTAAGGCTGGAGAGAAGGCTCATTGGATAAGAGAACTGGCTGCTCTTCTAGAGGTTCTTAGTTCAACTCCCAGCAACTACATGGTGGCTCACAACCATCTATAATGGGATCCAATGCCCTCTTCTGGCACACAGGTGTGCATGCAAATAGAGCACTCACTCATATACATAAAATAAATAAATCTTTTTTAAAATTAAGTTTAAAACATTTGATTACACAGAGTGAAAGAACCCAGGTACTAAACAAGAAAAGGCAGTATGTAGTGAAACTAAATATTTCATGCAAAAATATCTTAGAGGCTCCACAAGCTAGGTAATCAATAGGCAGTGACTACTATGGGGAGACAGTCAGCCCTATAACTCATTGAAAATGTGTCTCAAAAATTCTACACTAATTTCAGGTTGAGCATGTATTTCGTGTGTGACACTTGGCTTTCCTACCTGTATAACTACTATTTAATTTGTTTCCTAAGGCACAGGAGGTGTTCGATATTTATTTGTCAGTGCTTAAGCACACCTTTTATTTTAAGTCACAATCAACAAAAATGTTCAAGACATTTTTCTCAGAAAGCAGAACTCTTCAACTTATATTGCCAAGATAGTAGTAACAGGAATAAAACCTAAACTAAATATGATACCTTGGAAAATCTCAGAGATGCTGTGGATTGATCTCCTTTGTGTTTTGTTTTGTTTTTAATAATACCATTCCAAAATGCATGTTTTCATACATAGCCACAACAGAGTTTTGTTTTCGGTCGTGAAAATTGCACTCTTGTTATTTGTAAAATCAAAGGCAAATGGAAAACATGATTTTCTTACATATTCCCTCAGCAAATGAGGCTTCTTTGAAGAGAGCTATTTTATGTAATGGTTATGATGTAATGAAAAGAGATTAGAGACAGAAACTGCATCTCAAATACAAAGAAAACTAAACTGCTTTCTGTGAAAGAAGAAAACCCTATTTATTCCTTTGTTTTGCTGTAGCTTTATTTGGTTTGAAAGTGGAGAAGAATTTGAAAACTAACAAGAGATAAAGGAACACTAAAATAAAGAGGTATGGATAAAATGAAAATATTTCTCCAGGTGGAAAGGTTAATTTTTTCCTTAAAGATTTTATTTCTATACTTAAGAACACATGGTAGGGGTGGGGTGCAGGGGGGGGATATACACAGTAAGTGCAGCACCCAAGTAGTCCAGAAGAGGGCATCACAGAGCCCCTAGTCTCAGAGTCACAAGAAGTGTTGAAAACTGGATTCCAGTCCTCTGAAAGAGCAGAAAGTGCAGAGCCATCTCTCTAGCACCAAACAAAAGGATTGTTTGCTTGTTTGCTTGTTTAAGAGAGAAGGGGTGCTGAGCTCCCAGTTCTCCCACTGTTAGATGTGGAATATCTAGTGTTTTCCTCATTGATGACGGGCATATCACCTTTAAAGCTCTGACAGGACACAAGCTGGCACCGTGCTTGTCTTGGAGGAAGGATACAAGGAGAATATTCCCAGTCACATGTTTGAGATGATGGTAAGAAATCATTTATCATTTCTGTATAGAAATAACTGTCAGCTCTTTGATGCTAGTTTTCCATTAATGTGAAAGCTTTAGACACTTTTTTAACAGAATTTAAAACAACTTAGTCTATACTTGACTCCATTTAGAAATTATTTTAATCTTTATATACATCAGACTGGTGTTGTTTCAAACTTCTAAATCATGGGATCTATCAGTCCTGGCTACCTGGCATTTCACAGAAATGTCCTTCCCACCCACTCCACTATCAAGAGTACATGGATTTACAATATTGGAACTGGGCTGTCACCTGAAGCTCAGCCTTATTGATCTAAATTAATCCATGTCATGTGTACAATCTCACATAAAGTCATCCCGTTCTCATTCTCCTCCACTTCTCCATCTCTATTTTGGTTAACCTCCACTAACTCTTGCTACCATTTTGATCATCAGTACAAAATGCAGAAACTCTTGGCATTCACAAACACTCACCATTACTCCATGTTCCACACAAACATAGAAGTTAAAGGAATGCCAATCCTTTAAATTATGGCTACACACACACACACACACACACACACACACACACACACACATCTTTATGAGCTAGAGATGCAGCTCAGTAGGTAAGAGCACATACTGCTTTTGCAGAAGACCTGAGGCTGGTTCTCAGTATCTGTATCATGTGCCTAACAAGTACCTCTAACTCAAGCGCTAGTGGGTTTCAACACTTTTGCTCCCCAAACACACATATACACATAAATGCACCCAAACAAACATACACATATCACTGAAAAATTTTTAAAAATCTTTAAAAAAATCTCTTTGTAGAAGTGTGTGCTGACAGACCACTGATGTAGTTGGCAGACAAAAGTA